AGGAAACTTCTGTAAGTGTTCTTTGAATGCATTGTTCCACAATTTAGCAGTCTTTTCTTGGTGAAGTACCTTGTATAATTTTGCATTTGGGTCATCTGACACAGATTCCATGTAGGTGTCCACTGGCTGGACCTCACTTGGCCCGGGTCGTAAAAACTTCATCTCGCTGCTTCGGCTCTTGGCATCTATAACTGTAAACACCCCATTTTTCTGTGGCCGTACAATGTCCTGAAACTCTTCTTTACTTAGTCTTCTTATGGGAACTAGAGATTGGACTGGGCTGGTGGTCCCTGTTTTCTTCTGGCCTTTGTTGTGAGGAATACTTCCTTTTTTGTATTGATGTTGATGCAACCATTTTGGTCCTTTCTTTGGCATGGTAATTATTTAACTGTATACTTGTAGACTTTTTCTAAGAATATGCTATTGTATGTGGTGCACATTTTTAAGTATTGTAAACTTTTGTGTTGTTTATTTATTTTAGAGCTGCCTGGTCTTCTAAGAGAAACTCCATTCTTTGATGACTGATGGAAAAGCCTCATCACCCCCCACTGCTAAAGAACCCCTTATCTTAATCACCAGCCATTAATCAGTGATCACTGTTATCAAAGCTCCAAGGTACATTATTGAAGTCTCTTTTGAAACCATTTTTTCCAGTCTCTGACTTTGTTTTAGAATTAAGATTTTCACTTTTTTGCTAATTAATTCCTTAAAAATCAGTTAACTTCCTGTTTCTTAGCTAATTAGAGCTCATTAATTAGAGTTGAAATTATTTTTTAGCATATAGCCAAAAACTACAATACTTCAACTTTCAATTCATTCAATTTTTTTTTCTTAATAATTCACTCATTAAATTTTTTCAAGTTTTGAAATTAATATGCTAAAGATGAATTTGTACAGAAATTTAGCCTAAAATTCAATAATCTGTTAGGAAGAGTTATCTCCTATTTTTCATCCCTTAAGGACAAAGATAAATTTTGATGCACTAGTATATGAAAGATAAATAACTCAGAGACATTTTGTGCAAATTTCATTTAATTTAATTAACTTTTAATTGTCTTAAAGAGAAACAGGTAACTCTCATTTTCACTAAAATTTCTCTGATTTCAGGAGTTGTCTCCCCTTGAAAAGATCAATAATGGCGGATAAACAATGCGGCATGCAGTCTTGTCACCAACGGACAGTTTTGACCACCCGTGTACCCATATTTCTACCAGATACCTCTGAAACCTTTGTTGTGTTCATCACACAGGTAAGAAAAACAAGATTTTTAATTCAAATAATTTTAATGAGCTAAATAATAAAGAATATAACATTTTTACATGTACAGACTCTCTCGTATAACAAAATGTCACATTTTACACATACAATAATACATTATTCAAATGTCATCATTTTCCCCATTTACACAGTTGAAAATAATCAATGCATAATGAACCATAAAAACAATTATTACATGTAAGATAGTTCACAAAATATATTTTAAATACAAATTTTATACATTTGAAATACATGTACATATCATCAATGCCCCCCCCCCCCTTTCACAGTCTTACAACTTCCTTTTTAATTTTGGATCTGTTAATGATTTACTGTAAGTGTCTTTAGATTTTTTATCGTACAGCTGATATCTTTTAGATCTGTAGTATTTTCTTTGAAATTTATATTTTAACAGTTTTTGTTTCATTTTAAAGTAATTTTGTCTATTTTGTTGTTGTTTTAGATGATGGACCACTCTACTTCCTTTTACAACAGGTGCCCCTACAGATTCACAAAGTTCCAGTGTTGAGTTTCCATGACCCCTATTGAGTGAGTGTACAACTTTATGTATTCTACTTTCAAAATTTCTACTACTTGTAATACATTTTGGATTTGATTTTAAATATGCTCTATTTACAGATTCAGATTTTTGTGTACAAGTATGATATTTGATTCTATCAAGATTACTTTGTCCTAAAGTCAAATTTATACAGTCTTTTAACAAACATTTGTCTTTTTCTGTCATGTTTAATTCAAAGTCACTAGGCAACACTGAAGATTTCCACTTATTGCTTTTCAGTCCACGACAGGAAAAGGAATAGAGTTGACAGGACTTCCCGCACTGTCCCTGGTAGCAGTTTATGAGGGAACCAACCGCAGTAGACATAGCACGCTTCATCAAAGGTAAGTCGCCGGAGTAGTGTTTGTAGCAATTCTCGTACTCTGTCCTGCATCGAAGCTTCAGGTCCAAGGCAAATCTTCGCTGCATGGATTCTCTTATGGCCTTGGTTCTTCCCGGAAACATATGACTGCTGAATGGAGCCTTAGCAGTCTGTTTTCTTTGAGAGTCAAAGAAGTGACGCAAGTCCTTAAGGTTTTCAATCACATGTCCTTGTTTTTCAGATGCACCAGATGCAGCGGCACTGTCTCCATCACTGGTGAAATGGGATATTACTAGTGGCCGGTCATCACTCTGTAACTCACCGACACAATTAGCAGCCCATCTCTTCTCGTCTCCAATGGTGGTCTCCGGAGGAATGGTTGCAGTGCAGTCTTCATGTCCTGGGCAGGTAACCTCTTTTCCTTTGCTTCGTAGGTGTGCGCCTTTCTTACAAAGTTTATTCCCACAGAAAACTGCTACCACATTCTTCCTCTGAGTTACATTTTCACTTACGGTATACGTCACTTGGGTGGCAGCTTGGAATGGGGTTTTCCCAATGGCACTGAAGGTGGCATTATTGTACCGAGCATCTCCTTCGGCTCTGATGGGGGTATCCGGAAGTCCACATTTTTCATTAAGTTCTTGAATATTCTGCCGAATTTTCTTCATACTGTTTTTATTTACATCAGTTATAATTTTCCCCACTTTGTTGCAGGTCTGTTGCATGTTGGCGGCTGACGCTGGTTCAATATTTGCACCAAGAAGCATACCACGCATACCCTCTGTTGTAAGACTGGTACCCAGGTGACCGACGGCCATGGCCACATTCAGCTGTGCAGCTCTTCGTCCCCTTCCAGATCTTCTCACCTCTTCGTAAAGCTTTTCTCGTTGACTGGTATAGTGGCACTTCTTACATCGGATGGAAAGGATCCATGCCAGGCCTCGTTTTTCCTCCCCATGCTGATTCCAGTCCAGTGGACCATCACAGTCAGGAAACTTCTGTAAGTGTTCTTTGAATGCATTGTTCCACAATTTAGCAGTCTTTTCTTGGTGAAGTACCTTGTATAATTTTGCATTTGGGTCATCTGACACAGATTCCATGTAGGTGTCCACTGGCTGGACCTCACTTGGCCCGGGTCGTAAAAACTTCATCTCGCTGCTTCGGCTCTTGGCATCTATAACTGTAAACACCCCATTTTTCTGTGGCCGTACAATGTCCTGAAACTCTTCTTTACTTAGTCTTCTTATGGGAACTAGAGATTGGACTGGGCTGGTGGTCCCTGTTTTCTTCTGGCCTTTGTTGTGAGGAATACTTCCTTTTTTGTATTGATGTTGATGCAACCATTTTGGTCCTTTCTTTGGCATGGTAATTATTTAACTGTATACTTGTAGACTTTTTCTAAGAATATGCTATTGTATGTGGTGCACATTTTTAAGTATTGTAAACTTTTGTGTTGTTTATTTATTTTAGAGCTGCCTGGTCTTCTAAGAGAAACTCCATTCTTTGATGACTGATGGAAAAGCCTCATCACCCCCCACTGCTAAAGAACCCCTTATCTTAATCACCAGCCATTAATCAGTGATCACTGTTATCAAAGCTCCAAGGTACATTATTGAAGTCTCTTTTGAAACCATTTTTTCCAGTCTCTGACTTTGTTTTAGAATTAAGATTTTCACTTTTTTGCTAATTAATTCCTTAAAAATCAGTTAACTTCCTGTTTCTTAGCTAATTAGAGCTCATTAATTAGAGTTGAAATTATTTTTTAGCATATAGCCAAAAACTACAATACTTCAACTTTCAATTCATTCAATTTTTTTTTCTTAATAATTCACTCATTAAATTTTTTCAAGTTTTGAAATTAATATGCTAAAGATGAATTTGTACAGAAATTTAGCCTAAAATTCAATAATCTGTTAGGAAGAGTTATCTCCTATTTTTCATCCCTTAAGGACAAAGATAAATTTTGATGCACTAGTATATGAAAGATAAATAACTCAGAGACATTTTGTGCAAATTTCATTTAATTTAATTAACTTTTAATTGTCTTAAAGAGAAACAGGTAACTCTCATTTTCACTAAAATTTCTCTGATTTCAGGAGTTGTCTCCCCTTGAAAAGATCAATAATGGCGGATAAACAATGCGGCATGCAGTCTTGTCACCAACGGACAGTTTTGACCACCCGTGTACCCATATTTCTACCAGATACCTCTGAAACCTTTGTTGTGTTCATCACACAGGTAAGAAAAACAAGATTTTTAATTCAAATAATTTTAATGAGCTAAATAATAAAGAATATAACATTTTTACATGTACAGACTCTCTCGTATAACAAAATGTCACATTTTACACATACAATAATACATTATTCAAATGTCATCATTTTCCCCATTTACACAGTTGAAAATAATCAATGCATAATGAACCATAAAAACAATTATTACATGTAAGATAGTTCACAAAATATATTTTAAATACAAATTTTATACATTTGAAATACATGTACATATCATCAATGCCCCCCCCCCCCCGCCCTTTCACAGTCTTACAACTTCCTTTTTAATTTTGGATCTGTTAATGATTTACTGTAAGTGTCTTTAGATTTTTTATCGTACAGCTGATATCTTTTAGATCTGTAGTATTTTCTTTGAAATTTATATTTTAACAGTTTTTGTTTCATTTTAAAGTAATTTTGTCTATTTTGTTGTTGTTTTAGATGATGGACCACTCTACTTCCTTTTACAACAGGTGCCCCTACAGATTCACAAAGTTCCAGTGTTGAGTTTCCATGACCCCTATTGAGTGAGTGTACAACTTTATGTATTCTACTTTCAAAATTTCTACTACTTGTAATACATTTTGGATTTGATTTTAAATATGCTCTATTTACAGATTCAGATTTTTGTGTACAAGTATGATATTTGATTCTATCAAGATTACTTTGTCCTAAAGTCAAATTTATACAGTCTTTTAACAAACATTTGTCTTTTTCTGTCATGTTTAATTCAAAGTCACTAGGCAACACTGAAGATTTCCACTTATTGCTTTTCAGTCCACGACAGGAAAAGGAATAGAGTTGACAGGACTTCCCGCACTGTCCCTGGTAGCAGTTTATGAGGGAACCAACCGCAGTAGACATAGCACGCTTCATCAAAGGTAAGTCGCCGGAGTAGTGTTTGTAGCAATTCTCGTACTCTGTCCTGCATCGAAGCTTCAGGTCCAAGGCAAATCTTCGCTGCATGGATTCTCTTATGGCCTTGGTTCTTCCCGGAAACATATGACTGCTGAATGGAGCCTTAGCAGTCTGTTTTCTTTGAGAGTCAAAGAAGTGACGCAAGTCCTTAAGGTTTTCAATCACATGTCCTTGTTTTTCAGATGCACCAGATGCAGCGGCACTGTCTCCATCACTGGTGAAATGGGATATTACTAGTGGCCGGTCATCACTCTGTAACTCACCGACACAATTAGCAGCCCATCTCTTCTCGTCTCCAATGGTGGTCTCCGGAGGAATGGTTGCAGTGCAGTCTTCATGTCCTGGGCAGGTAACCTCTTTTCCTTTGCTTCGTAGGTGTGCGCCTTTCTTACAAAGTTTATTCCCACAGAAAACTGCTACCACATTCTTCCTCTGAGTTACATTTTCACTTACGGTATACGTCACTTGGGTGGCAGCTTGAAATGGGGTTTTCCCAATGGCACTGAAGGTGGCATTATTGTACCGAGCATCTCCTTCGGCTCTGATGGGGGTATCCGGAAGTCCACATTTTTCATTAAGTTCTTGAATATTCTGCCGAATTTTCTTCATACTGTTTTTATTTACATCAGTTATAATTTTCCCCACTTTGTTGCAGGTCTGTTGCATGTTGGCGGCTGACGCTGGTTCAATATTTGCACCAAGAAGCATACCACGCATACCCTCTGTTGTAAGACTGGTACCCAGGTGACCGACGGCCATGGCCACATTCAGCTGTGCAGCTCTTCGTCCCCTTCCAGATCTTCTCACCTCTTCGTAAAGCTTTTCTCGTTGACTGGTATAGTGGCACTTCTTACATCGGATGGAAAGGATCCATGCCAGGCCTCGTTTTTCCTCCCCATGCTGATTCCAGTCCAGTGGACCATCACAGTCAGGAAACTTCTGTAAGTGTTCTTTGAATGCATTGTTCCACAATTTAGCAGTCTTTTCTTGGTGAAGTACCTTGTATAATTTTGCATTTGGGTCATCTGACACAGATTCCATGTAGGTGTCCACTGGCTGGACCTCACTTGGCCCGGGTCGTAAAAACTTCATCTCGCTGCTTCGGCTCTTGGCATCTATAACTGTAAACACCCCATTTTTCTGTGGCCGTACAATGTCCTGAAACTCTTCTTTACTTAGTCTTCTTATGGGAACTAGAGATTGGACTGGGCTGGTGGTCCCTGTTTTCTTCTGGCCTTTGTTGTGAGGAATACTTCCTTTTTTGTATTGATGTTGATGCAACCATTTTGGTCCTTTCTTTGGCATGGTAATTATTTAACTGTATACTTGTAGACTTTTTCTAAGAATATGCTATTGTATGTGGTGCACATTTTTAAGTATTGTAAACTTTTGTGTTGTTTATTTATTTTAGAGCTGCCTGGTCTTCTAAGAGAAACTCCATTCTTTGATGACTGATGGAAAAGCCTCATCACCCCCCACTGCTAAAGAACCCCTTATCTTAATCACCAGCCATTAATCAGTGATCACTGTTATCAAAGCTCCAAGGTACATTATTGAAGTCTCTTTTGAAACCATTTTTTCCAGTCTCTGACTTTGTTTTAGAATTAAGATTTTCACTTTTTTGCTAATTAATTCCTTAAAAATCAGTTAACTTCCTGTTTCTTAGCTAATTAGAGCTCATTAATTAGAGTTGAAATTATTTTTTAGCATATAGCCAAAAACTACAATACTTCAACTTTCAATTCATTCAATTTTTTTTTCTTAATAATTCACTCATTAAATTTTTTCAAGTTTTGAAATTAATATGCTAAAGATGAATTTGTACAGAAATTTAGCCTAAAATTCAATAATCTGTTAGGAAGAGTTATCTCCTATTTTTCATCCCTTAAGGACAAAGATAAATTTTGATGCACTAGTATATGAAAGATAAATAACTCAGAGACATTTTGTGCAAATTTCATTTAATTTAATTAACTTTTAATTGTCTTAAAACATACAACCGTCTGCATTCTCTGCAGGCTTGCTTCTAACGTGCTGTAAAACATACAACCGTCTGCATTCTCTGCAGGCTTGCTTCTTGCGTACTGTTAAACATACAACAGTAAAAAAAACCAGGTCAGGCATAAATTAAAAAAAAACACATAAAAGGATCGAAAACGGCCTACAAGATCTTACACGACTAGGTACATGTGTGGGGGGGGGGCGGGGGGTCATTTACAAACGCTGTCTTCGCTTGATTTGTTCCTTTTCAAACGAAATTCCAAGTATCCTGTCAATGACGTGAAAGAGTTTAATAATAAGATCGATCTATTTAAATAATGAACAGGTATTTCAGAGAACATATAATTGTAATCTTTAAAAGAATTTTGAGGGTAATTATCCTAATAACTCGTTTACTTAAACTTTTCGAATAGCTGTTTAGTAATGTTTCTTTTAAAGGATTCCAAAATAATTGTACACCTATGTTGCATCTACAGTGTCATGTCGATGAGATTCGTATAATGATGTTTCCCAGGCTGTTTTGATTAAATTCTTCAATACACGCGTTTCTTTTGATTAGATTTACAATTTTCCACAATTTCTTTTAAGAATATGATGTCGATGAATACTATTGAACCTTCTGCTGTAAGTAAACTCCAATCCTCCGTTGATTCTATGGTAGGTTAGCAAGGATTCCTGTCGCACGTAAAGGTTAAGCTCGAGGATTTTAATGAAAGAAATTGTTTAATAAGAGAAATATAAAAATTGCAGTCATTTATGTTAGACAATGAATTGCATATTTTGACGGAAAATTAAACTGATTTTATTTGGAAAATACTCCTGGTATACAGAATCGTCATTTATAAGACCGTAAATTAACTACCGGTATGCCTCTGTGGTAAATTTATGTTATAAAGTCATATCGAAACAAATAAAAAAAACTGCAACTTTACTCTGGCAACAAGACTATCAGAAATAACTCCAAAAGATTTCACTTTAATTTTTTTTTTATTTTCTGTTAATTTAATGCTTCATGAAATATCAGTAACATACTTCACAGACATGTTGGGTTAATAAGAAATTTACTTTTTCTGAAGAAAAACTTTCACACCACTAAGCACTCATGTTCATAAAAAGATATTCAGACAGGCAACTGATTGATTCTAGTAAAAAAAAGTTTTTAAAAACCGTACTCCTCCCACCTCACCCCCACTGATAACGAGAACTTTAAAATCAGGGCATTTTTATTCATTTGATCTCAATGAGTAATCCCTGTCTTGCGAAACCGATAAGAATTCTAAAGAGTGTATTTCAGTTATTTACAGTATTTTTGTTCTGTAATTCTAGAAGTTTCTTATATAGGGCATTGCTATTGATTTATATCATTACAAAGAAGGTGAATAATTATATCACGAACAACAAGTGTTTAGTGACAACGATCCACTGGATTTAAAAACAGATTAATAGTTTTTGTTGTTGTTAAACTGCCTGTAACACAAAACTTTTACAGGTTTATCATCGAGTCAAAAGATTGTGCACACAGAGATACTCCAGGTATACCAACTTCTTAGTCACAACTGTAATTTCAAAATTATAATATGGATCTAATGATTTGTAATGTAACATGTTACCTGATTCTAGCAAATAAGAAACATAAATTACTTAGGAGAATCTCAGACTACCTGTTGTTACTACACCTCTATAAATGCTACAGGAACACAATAAAATTCATATATTATCGCACTTAAACGGAGCACAGTAACCGCTAGGGTACATCATATGCCTGACTACATCATGTATTTTTATTTCTCCAGTTTCGTGACTTAGAGGTGCTGCTATCCTGTTGACTTACAGGTGCTGCTATCCTGTTATTTGGGGAGAAATATTTATTGCTGTATACTAAAAAACACTTTAAATGTTCACATACCCATCAAATGTGAAACAAGGGGAAAGGACATTCATTTTTGGATGAAACCCCTTTTCCCACAGATACAAATAATGATTATAGGAATTCACAGTCTGAATGATTTAACAAGGACCCGATTTGATATGGATAGTCATGGAATTCCAGGATGGGTTTGCAGAAAGTTGCAATATACTTTTCCCAAAAATAAATTAGCAGACAAGGTTTGGAAGTTTTAATATAATTCTCAATGCATGTGTAAAGACCTGAACATGAACCGACCAGTCTGAGAAACATATGAGAAATTTAAAAGAAGTTCCTGGTATTTGATTCATTGTTTGCACATATTTGTAGTTAAATCGATGGGTGGGAGGTGTGTTGTGTGATATATGCATATTATAAAATTATTTCATCTGAACGAATCATTTAATTTGAAGACTTAGTATAATTATACACTAGCTGTTACCAAATAAAAGTTAACCTGTATGATTTGGCAATGCTTGTCTTATTTTCACATTAAATTGACACAGAGATTATACTCATGAACAAACTATCTTTGATTTAAAAATCACGTCATCTGAAGTAGAGAAACAAATTTAACACGAATAACGAAAACGACATCACCTGACAAAATATTTGATTTAAAAAATGATACAGCTGAGTGATTATTTGATTGGTATTTTGAAACAAGACAGTATTCTCGAAAATTTTACTTTCTAATTTTAATTTTTTTTTCTCATTCTATGGTAAATATTTTATTAAAAGTCAATTCTTTTGCTTTGAGTCTTATTTATGTATGCATAAATAGAAAAAATCCAAATCATCAGTATTTGGGAACTTACAAAAGTAGTATCAATTCAGTTCACTTTATTACGTAAGACATACATCTTATTGTATACAATATATAACATGTAAACAGTAAAGCATAGCGCAGGTATTTTTTTTTAACAGTCAGCATAATAACTATACAATCAGTATCATGATGATGGAGAATGTAAAAACCATTTTTAAAAATTTGTTTATAAGGCAGTAATAGATATATAGTGATAGGGGGTTCAGTTATCTGTTTATTCTACAAAAATTTAACAGTTGTTTAATACGTTTAACCTTAATCTAGAATCAAATATACACAATTCTGGTTTAGGAGAAGTTTAATGCATTTGATTAAGTCTTGAACTTGTTATAGACTGTTTTGAAATGCATATATCCTCTTTTAAGACAAAAAATCATTTTTGATTGAATCAGTTTTTAATTGGTTCCCTTTTATACTGGACATTTTATTTATCTGAATAAAAAAAATCTTCAATACATAAAATCTATTTCAGGCTAACAAGTTAAAACAATAACATACATAAAATATTGATTATTAAACAAAATGGAAATAAAGTCACTCTTTTCTAATTTGATTATACACATAAGTATACTGAAAGTTGACATAAAAAAATGCTTGAATATCTGATTGATCATGACAAGAAATACACGGCGGGAGTGACCGGTCAGCAGGGGACCCCACTCCTCCATGACACCTGATCCCAACTCTGATGTTTTGAAGATTTGCTCTGCTCCTATTGTGTATTATTTTATGGAGCTTGAATACTGTTCGTTATCTTCATATATTTCGTCTTAAGAGAATGCAAATGAACACAATTAATTTAAAAAAAATTAAGAAAACAAAATGTAATCAAGCTCAAAAGTTCAATAAAGAACGAGTTAGGAGCTGAGCAAACACGGATTTCTAAAATCAAATGATTGAACGATTAAAAATCAAGCTCAAAAGTTCAATAAAGAACGAGCTAGGGGCTGAGCAAACACGGATTTCTAAAATCAAATGATTGAATGATTGAAAATCAAGCTCAAAAGTTCAATAAAGAACTAGCTAGGGGCTGAGCAAACACGGATTTCTAAAATCAAATGAT